ATATATTACATTGCATACTGGAAACGAAATGGACCGAACAAAATTTCTATTCGAGCGATCCGATTTCGATCGTACAGAAACGTCTAGAAGAAAACTGAATTTTATAGAAAAAGATTCTGGCATTTCGTCGTATAATTTATTCCCAAATGTAAGAACAGGATAGTTGTAATTCTTCCAACGATTAATCGCTAAAGAATATGTAATTCTCGTTGATTTATAAACAGGATACCAGTAGCTCGCCTAGTATGATGCTCTTTGACGAAAGCTTGTTTTTTAAATCCACGAATAATAAGAAGTACAAAGAAGCAACTTCATTGACACCTACGTTGGATATAAAACTTAGAAAGAGTCATCTAAGGGAGAAAGTAAATTCAACGGTGACACAGTTACTGCACCCTAATGACGAGCAAGCAGATAGTATGAATAATGACACAATGGACGAACAACTACCTGAAACCAATAACGAGTTCCCAGAAACACAAGCTCCCCAGCCTAACCTGATAAATAAGAAATTAAATAAGATTAATAGTACAAATACTAAAGAAAATGATATGACCACGAAAGTATCTCCTGTAGGTAGGTATACAGAGAATAATAAAAAAAACTATACAACTACTACAAAAATTAACACTTTATCGTGTACAACAATGTATGTTAACTGTTGAATTAATTACAATATCAAGTATTTTTTCATTAAAAAATTATAATAAGGATTGTATAAATGTATATAATAATGTATTTAAACAAACTGATAGTACGTGACAACTGTACAAAATATTTAGCTTTATAATTAAAATGGTGCACTTCGATTTCTTAGCATTTGATCGAACTAAGGAAATATTGTCTCAACCCGATGAGAATGCTGATTGGCAAGAAATACTGAGATGGAAACAGCGTCGAAGAGACGTTGGCCTTTGGGTTGAATGTCATAGAAAGAACTGTAGAAAAAATAGATTCGTTGAAGAATATCATGATCCGACGGATGTACCAAAAATTTGGTATTGCGAAATGAATTCTGGTGTGGAAACTTCGTCCTGATACGTTTAATAAGCTCTTTATCCTAAATATACCCTAATCGAAATTACTGTTCGACTCCGCAGACAAGTCATTAGCGTCTTGTGACATACCAGAGGAACGAATACCCCCTGCGATAGAAAATGATTTAATTGAAAATGATTACAATGCAGGTAGCATTGTTTGGGCACGTGTACGCGGCTTCCCATGGTGGCCTGCTATAGTAAATGATTGCCCCGATACGTTCGCGTTTTACATGCTACCACCAAATACTTCGAAGCCCGTAAGCTTTCATTCATGCATACCATATATGTACATTTCTTTCTTCATGAGATAATAAAATATGCATAATTTCTAGAGCATGTATTATGTGACGTTTATCGATGAACACGAATTTTCATATAGTTGGATGGAAAAAAGTAAATTAAAACCATTCAAAAAGTACAGCTACAATCAACTTATTAAGAAGGTGTACTATGTTATTCAAGTATAATTTTATTCATTATATTCTACATACTGTAGATAACAGAAGTTTTAATTGCAGACGAAGTTCAATAATATTGAGTACAAAGAGCAGTTGCAAAGAGCGTACGAACTGGCTCGAAGTGCTCTTCCATTGTCAATTCTAGACAGATTACAAAAATACAGTTATTTGGCGTTATACTACAAATTTTATAAGTCTAACAACAATTCGGTAGAGATGGAATCAATGGAATCGATGGAAGTACCTTCTTCATATCCAATACAGTTTTCACTGAAGGATTATTATAAAGTAATACGTGAAGAACGTTACGAAACGTAATTAAAGACGATAAACATATAATAATTTTATTTTAACTTTATTTAATATATAATAATTTTATACTAATAAAATGTTTCTCATTGTAATTTTACTTAATATAAAATAATAATTTTATACTAACAAAATATAATTTATTGTTTATCTCGTTGTTCGTCAAATTGGTTTTCCTCTGTTCAATTAAATAGCGATCTTTCTCTATTCAAATCAGATTAATTTATCCGTGTCCTGTATCTAATATGAAGAATACACAGACGCGTAACTGTAGACTTTCTAGGTAACGCGGATTAGACGAAGCTGCTTTAAAATCTCGCAGTTTCGATAGAGGAGAGGAGCGATTTGCTTTTTTCATCGCGTACGCGCTTAGCCGCGTATAAATTCCGCTTACACCTTCCGCGAGAGGCCGAATGCACCTGCATAAAGCGAGGGAGGCAGGAGATGCTGGTGACCGGAATGTTTTACGACTAACCGTGAAATCGGGCTGGCCGGCATTGAGTGAAAACGTTTCGAAGCTCTATCGATATACGGTACCGGACGCGGAGGAGAAGCCGGTTGAGAAACATTCTTTTCCGGCGTCGCGGCGCGGCGCGGGTATCTCGCGCGCGAGCAACAACGATCGCGGCGCGATTAGATGCAAACAAACTGCTCGGGCCCGTGAAACGGCGTAATCCAGCCAACAAGTATTACGTAACGGAAGATATACGAGCATCATGTGTATTATGCGATGACCAGGGAGGCCGGTCTTCGAGAGGCTGGTTAGGTGGCCGTTTACCACCGCGCGCAGGCTGGGAATTCGTAACGGAACTCGCGCGATTCCAACCGTTGCGGGATTATAAATTAGCCCGGCTAACAACCGTAATCTATAATGCGTACAAGGTGTCCACTGTGGCACGGCTAGGAATTTATTACTCGTCGTCCGTCCATCTCCAGCCAAGTGTCCACTCTTTGTCCTCTCTTATTTTTGAAAAGTCAAAATCTTTAAACACTGAATTAATTAAAAATCCATGTAACAACGTAGTACGATTATTTGCTCTACTTCGCAGTTAAGAATGTTTCTAAGGGTAATAAATTGTACACAGCAAAGCTGTTCGTTAGAAATGTTATAAAAAAATTTTGTATAATTATATTATAAACGCGAGTAACGAAATTTATTCAAAATCTGAAACTAAGACCTCGTACCTTCTATCCACGAATATTTCAATTGTCATTCTTATGAAATTATTTAAATGTCTTCAGAAATAAGGAGCATCCTAATTTATATTCGCGAAATCAGCTACAAATTACTGTCACTGTATAAAAAATATTTACACTACGTTGTCGATAAAATCGAAGAATGTCGACACGCGGTAGAAGGTTTCAATCGGCGTACGACTTTTATTCTACTTGTTTCTGGAGCTACCCTTGCAAATAACCCTTCCAGTCGAGAACCCGTATAGGGAGAAGACACATCCGCATTGCTCCGGGAGCTAGTTTCTCCTCGAAGACGGATGCGTACGCTCGATCGGGGCAAGTGTAATAAACCCTGGAACCCGGTATACGCTTGCACGGAGGAACCCGGGAGTAATGCGCGCCAGAGTGCATAGTAGTAATAATAAAGTGGTAGTGGTTGGCACGTCACGGTCCAACAGGCCGATCAACCGGCCGTGCGGCCGGCTCGGCTACTGGTCTCCGCCCACGCACGAATATGAACCAACACAGAAACACTCAGCCCCTGAAAAGGATGATCAACCGTGCTAACGAGAATCTCTGCTAAGTGGACAGTGATTAGGAAACAAGGGGAATTGCTACGATATTCGGATACCAAATCTTCACTTTATCTAATCACTTCCGCGATCACTAATTATCAGCTGGGGTAAACTAATACGAAACACGTAATATTAAATATTCGCTAAAATTAGAAACAGAAGAGAAATTTTAATTAGGAAGAGTTCTAAACTGATTAAGAAAAATCAGTCTTATTTGGACACAAGGAAGTCGATCTTCATTTGAATTCCAGGAAGTTCTATTA